CCCGGCGTGTGATCTCCAGATGGAGAATGGCTGCACGCTACAACGGAACGCAGGGAGCGCATGGAAAAAAGTGCCGTTAAGATATACTACTCAGAGTATGGATTGAATTAAAATAATTACAACACTGAATCTAAAATAGAGAGAAAAACTAAAAATGTTTATTATACTAAGATATCAATTAAATGTGTACCGATATACAGATGCAAAAAAAAAAAAGATAAAATAAGATTACAACTCGCAAATACCGTTTTTTTTTTTAATAACTTCACTGGATTTATTGCGCGAAAAGTACGATTTAGTTTCTCTGGTTAGTGGTACTTCGCGACTATATTAAAACCAAAGAAAAAAACTCTTCGGCCCAGCGAAGCGCCCGGCGTCCGATCTCCTGATGGATAGTTGTTACACGCTACAACGGAACGCAGGGAACGTATGAGAAAAAGTGTCATTAAAACATACTACCCAGAGTATAAATTAAACTAAAATAACTACAACACTGAATTTAAAATAAAGAGAAAGACTTAAAATGTTTATTATACTAAGATATCAATTAAATGTGTACCAATGTACATATGCCAAAAACAAAAATCTAAATATTATATAAGCACTTATGTGCATCTAAACCCATTGAAAGTCGTAGTATTAATGGGTACACAAGTCAAGTAGTCATCTCAGTTCATATCTTCAAGGTAGCGAGAGACAAGATGTTTGTGGAGGTATTCTGGATTCAGCTTCTCCCCTGTCGCTCTCTCTACAAGTTCATCGGTCGTGTAGAGGCTGCCATGGTTCCAAATCTTTTCTTTTTGCTTCGCCAAGATGCACTCCAGGTCGCCTGTCTGGAGGCATTTAAAAAGTTTCTCCTCGCCGAGTTCCGTACGGATCGTTGCCATGAGCTGCGCCGCGAGCAACACCCCAATCAGGTACGTCGGGAAGTACCCAATGGAGGCTTGCGACCAGTGACCATCCTGAAGGCAGCCCAGGTCGTCCCGCCCGGTCGTCTCGATCCCCAAATATTCCTTCATCTTTGCATTCCACACAGTGGGCACCTCCTCGGGTTGCAGTGTCCCATCCACCAGGTCACGTTCGATCTCACAGCGCAGGATGACGTGCAACGGGTAACAGACCTCATTCGCGCCAGTACGGATGAAGTTCGGCTTCACCTCACGAACGACACGGATGAGGTTCCCCAGGTTAAAGGCCGGCTGTGGGCCGATGTTGGACTCAAGTTTGGGCTGAAGAAACTCCAAAAAGGGCTTTGCGTGGGAGATCTGGTACTCGGCGAAGAGGGACTGGCTTTCGTGCACACCATAGGAGCGGGCTGTGCAGACAGGTTGCGTAATCAGTTGACGCGGCCCCATGTTCTGCTCGTATTTGCCGTGCCCCACCTCGTGAATGACTGAGTAAAGGCACCTCGAAAGATCATCTTCGGAGTAAATTGTCGTGATACGGCAGTCCTCCTTAGTCATGCCGGCGAAGGGGTGCGGACTACTATCCAGTCGTCCCGAATCAAAGTCGAACTTCCAGGTACGCATCAGATCCTTGCCGAGTGCGTTTTGCTTGTCCACGGGAAAAGGTCCTTTGAACGGAATGATGGGGTCTTTTACTGATTCCTGTTTCTTTACAACATCCTGTAGAAGTTGTGGTAACCATGATTTAACTTGCCCAATAATCTTGTCCAGGCGAGCAATCGTCGCCCCTGGCTCGTAAATATTCATAAGGGCTTCATATGGGGTCTGTGAAGAATCCGCCGCCAGACATGCCCCTTCTTCGCGGGCAACCAAAACGAGTTCCTTCAATACAGGTAAGAAATCGGAGAATTTATTATCAGACCGGCTTTTTTTCCATACCTCATGGGCCATAGTGGTAAGTTTCGCCTTACGAGCTAGGAAGTTTTCCGATAGTGAGCTCATGCGCTTCCATAAAGCAGTCATTTCGCGAAGATTGCTTTTCTGAACTGCAGAAAGTTCATCTTGTACCGCTGTGGATTCATCAATCCACTTCTTCACATCTGGTGCAGTAATGTACTGGAATTTGAGTTTCTCCAACATTGCAATGGCCTCCCCGCGAGACTCCTGACCTTTAGGAGGCATATACGTCCTGATATCCCAATGACATAGCCCAAGGACGTGTTCAAGACGATAAATCGTCTCAAAAATAGACTCCAGCTGGTTATATGCGGACATATCGAGTAGCTCTAGGACTGAATAAAACCTTAGTTTAATATTTTAAAAAATGGTGACAGTATTTGCTTATAAAATTTAAAAAAACGACCTCTGGGTTCAAACGCAGAAAATATAATTATAGCTTTGTTCTTCGTCAGTCTTCCCCTCTCAGAAGTTGGACAAGAGATCCGTAAACCGTCAAATCAGAGAAATATTCCCGCATTTACGATGTCTAACAAGTACACATACCGATTCATTTTGTTCTGTGTTGTTGTTTAAAGTTTATACGAATTAATTGATCATCTTTCATATCGTAGATGTTACTCCAGTCATTGTAAATTAAACACGGTGCCGCGCCTTCCTTCCTATCGTTGTCATATCCAACTCCTCTTCTTTTTATTATTCTATTTTTTTTTCACTTAGACTTCTAAGCTTAGCACATCGCCTTTTCTCTTTCAAAGGATTTTCTTTGAATTACTTTAAAACGATGTAAAGTTTGACGACCGATATGGAGGTTTAGGTAGGTGGGATTTAATGGAACGTATGCAAATGGCTCGATAATAGCTGATTTGATGTCCACCGCACCACTCCCCGCAAACTCCTCGCCCTTCCGAATATTCTCCTTCACGCGCAACCGCTTGAGCGCCTGTTTCGCCCCCTTTTATTCACGCAGCTTTGTGAGGTGGTTTAGCCCTTTCCCCGCCCCGTGTCCGCTCGTCGCGGGCGTTTTCCAGGGGCGCAGCGGAGCAGCCGATCTGCCAGGGCCTCACGACGCCGACGGTCGTCCTCGTAAGCCTTTTCCGCCCTCGTTCGGATGCGCAGTTTGACATCGTGGAAATCGAGATAAATGGCGTCGTCGTTCACTTTCTCAATCCCTTGCGCGAGTTGGTAGTAGACCCCATAGAGCGTGTGAATCGTGCTCGCGCTCATATCCACAAAACTAGGGCTCGACAAGAACGCTAAAAGTGGTTTAAACAACTCGCAAAAAGAGTCCTCGGTGAAGATGGTGGGGAGTTGATAAAACCCCCCAGCGACGCCCCTGTACTGATGAAGAAACGCCGCCCATCGCACGCGTTCGGCCGGGCGTTGGGCCTGCTCGGCCTCCCGCAAGGGTTGGCTCGCGAATTGAATAAAAGGGAATATTTCATTGACAAAGTAGGACAGAGAGTCGTAAGAGGCGCGCAGCGGAGGGTATTGAGGGTATAGCTGTTTGGCCAGCGCTCCGACGCGAAGG